GTCCTCAACCAGAGCCAGGGCCTTTTCAGCCCTGGCTCCAGCTGAGTGGAACACTCTTCCAGCTGAGATCTGGGCCCTGAGGGACCAAATGCAGTTCCACAGGGCCTGTAAAACAGAGATGTTCCACTGGGCCTATGGTTGAGGGCAGCGACAGGTTGCATCTTTAATTGGCCTCCTTTCTCTCCTCTTTTTCCCCTCCCCCTTTTAGACCAGACAGATTATACACCACTCCCCCGAGTTTTATGCCATCTTTTATTATACCATTAATTTATAATATATTGTATTTTATTTTATATCAGTAGGTATTTTATTTTATTTATTGTATTTATATAGTGAATGTTTTAAATGATGACGTTACCCATTCTGAGCCTGGACACAGGGAGAGCAGGATTCAAATCCAATAAAATAAATATAAAATAAATAAACTACTCAGAGATCCTTTAGGCTGAACAGACCTACCCTACTATGTACTTCCTGCTGTAAGTACTGTGCTAGAATGCAGATGCAATGCCAACCCTTGACCTTCAGATCTGACATAGTAAAAAAAAAAGTATGTTATCTAAAAATTTATGGAACCAGAATCTTGTGACACCTGACAACAAAGTCACCTACAGATGTCTTCCCCACAAGACTCCTTACTATAAAATACATGTACATGTTTCACATCCACAGTAAGAGCCATATAAGCAATATAATTCCTACTGGCTTATCTTGGGGGGGGGAACCTCAAGGACAGAAACTTTGGGGTTATTAAACAACAGGCTAATGTAGAATAACCACTGAGATCAAAATAAGAAATGAACGCACATTCATTTCCAAAGATTTAATGCACAGTCAAATAGAGGGGTGCCCTCATTTATAAAATTTAAAAAAGGAGCTGCCAAGAACAGTTTCAAATAAAATTCAACCAACCTGATGCAAGAACTTTACAGCTGAAACTCTCCAAAGATCTGACGAGGATTTAATTCCCATAGAGAATTCCTCCCACTCTCAGATGACAAACCCTTCATATACTAAGTTATCTGAAATGAAAGCAAATTCTAGGGATCCAGTCATATGATTACATTTTATAGTCTCTGTACAATAGAAGATGTGGCATTTGTATCCCTTTATAAATAGGGAAAGTAGCTGATGTCTTCTAGAAAATGTATGTAAGTCTAAGCCTGACATGGAACAAGTTAGTCAAACTGCATCATAGCAGGAAATGTTAAAACAGAATAAATTACGCCACGCATACAGGTTTGATTTGAATTCAGCACTTTACAAAATTTTACGTACACTGTGAAATTTTGTATTTAAACTCTTCAGCACTGCCACCACTGAAGTGGCAGTTTCAATCCAACGTATACATAGAAGAAATTGAAATATCTTCTATAAAACCTCTATTGTGACAGAAGAAATAGAGAAATCAATATGGTATTACTTTATAATCTTTTTTTTCCATACTGCTCACTTAAATAAGCAAAGTAGATCCTTTAGAACCATCACAAACTGAGCAAAATAAAGCATCACTGCTTACTAAAGCTACATGGAATGACATCAGCACTGTCTACGCTGCAGTTTCAGAAATTTTCCCGTCTACTCTCTTAGATGCTAGAAAGAATACTGAAAAGATACTAGAAAGAACATGTCAGGAGTTTCGAGCATTTAAAAAAAATCTCTTATCATATGTGAGGGAACCTGCTTTGGACTGAGACATGGGGGGGATCAGGCCTCCTGTGCCATCTACCCAATTCAAAATTACCTCAGGGTGCTATTTGACCTCTTGTGAGTCTTTTAAAAATACTAGAAACTCCCAGCATGTTATCTAGTTAGGGCTTTAGCATGAGGATCCAGTTCCAGTTTCCATAAAGCAACCATCCCCCCCCCCTTAATAAGAAGGGTTTTTTTTAGACTCTCACCCTATTTTGATGCTCAGAATAGTAGGTGAATATATTTCTTAACTTTCTGATCCTTATTTTTATGAGATTTCTGATGGAAAACTGTTTGCAGAATACAAGTCTTTGGAATGTTAATTATAATATTTTAAGAGGAGAGGAATTTTTAGAAAAGGTTGCAATTCAAAGTATTGAAAGGGAGGAAGCAGAAAGACAGGGAAATATAGTAAAGGTAAAGGTTTCCCTTGCTCAAAAGCCAGTCGAATCTGACTCTAGGGATGCGGTGCTCATCTCCGTTTCCAAGCCAAAGAGCCAGCGCTGTCCAGAGACATTTCCAGCATGACTAGATGCCAAGCTGCATGGAACGCTGTTACCTTCCCACCAAAGCGGTACCTATTTATCTACTTGCAATTTCTTGCTTTCGAACTGCTAGGTTGGCAGGATCTGGGACCAGAGATGGGAGCTCACGCTGTCTTGCAGCACTCGGGTCTTGAACTGCTGAACTACTGACCTTCCAGACTGCTGTTCAGCGTCTTAACCACTTGAGCCACCGTAGCCCACAGGGAAATATAGGGATATGTAAAACACTCATTTTTAAACTAATTCAGACTACTATGTACAAAGCGGTAAAGGTTTAGAAACAGAAGAATAAGATACTCATTCTGAATAAAGAAATAAGCTTGAATTATGCTAATATTTCTGTGATATTATTGACTGGAACAGAGAACATTAAATGTAAATATAGGTTCAAGACAGATAACTTTGTTTACAATGACACCTGCTGATCCACTGCTCAGTACCATTATGAAATGTACTTATTTGCAACATTTTTACCCTGCCTTTCTCTGAAAATGCACTCATGTAGCTGCCACACTTGTTCACTAGATCCAGGTGGGAAGCTGTGTTGGTCTGAAGTAGTAGAACACACTTTGAGTCCAGTAGCACCTTTAAGACCAACAAAGGTTTACTCAAGGTGTGAGCTTTTGTGTGCGCATGAAATGATGGCCTTAAAGGTACTACTGGACTCAAAATTTGTCCTATTCTTGTTTACTGCTAACATCATAATCTCTATGGTCAACTGCTTTTTTCTTATTTTGCCAGCTGGCAAGAATTAATATGAGTTTAAATAGCTTGAGGTATTGTGTTTCTTTCTATTAATTGCTCTGATAAGGAAAACTGTCATTATACATGCTACATTTAAAGTTTTCAAAGCATGACAATATGTTTTGCATTTATTTCAGATTTTCTCCAAATGTCCACTTTTCCCCAAACTGATAAAATGGTCATTCCCTAATTTCAAGATGGCTCAGAACATTACATTTCTAAATATAAGTTAAATATTTACTACTATAAAATCACTCTAGAATGCATAACAGTAGAACTGTTGCACAAGAGGATAAAGCAAATACTGGCTTGGAAACTTTCCTGAGGATTTATTTCCAAATAGTTGTTTAGATCAAGATGCCAGGCCCAAAGGCTGCTTAAGATACCGACAGTCAGGAATAACTAGTAATTCTTCTAATACGTGGATCTATCTCACATAGGAAAAGGCATTGTAAGCCATCCTCTAACCAACAACCAAACGCATAAAGTCCCTTAATCGGAAATTCATGCTTCAAGTGGCAGATGTCTTGTTAAAGGATTAAAATGGGTGCACTGGTGAAAAAAGGCTCCATCCTCCCCATGTTGATCACCAAGGTACTTTTCTCCCACCTAGCTTGAGGATTGGAAGCCTGCCCTGCTGTGAGAAAACCGCCTGGAGCAACAGCAACAGCACAGATGAAGGATCCAGGTGGTCAACAAAGGTTTACTCAAGGTATGAGCTTTCGTGCACATGCACCCCTTTTTCAAATACATTGGAATGGTAGGTAAGGTTCAAACTTATAGACTTATATGAAATTAAGCAAAGGAGGATTCAGCTCCTCTGCTGACACACTCCTTTTCCTGTCAAAGGGCAGCCAAAAAGAGTTGTAGTTTAACACGTGGTATTGTATAAATAGACCCTGTACAAGGAACAGAAACACCAAGGAGCCAAGGGGGGGGGGGGGGGAGATACCAAGGGAAGACAGATAATATTAACTTCAACCCACATCTTATTTCATCTCCTTTAGGCCATATTTTCTTCACTAGGAAACTAATTTCAGATCATAATATGAAGTAGGAAAGTGCTGCTAATTTGCAGAGCCCTGGGTGATAGGAAGAAAGCCTGCAAAATGCTAGGTGATGGTAGATGTCAGCCTCTTTCAGCTGAGCATTAAACAGCAAGCATGGACAATCCAGCCACAGCTGTACTGAAATCTGCAAATGCAGAGGAAGGCCACGTGTCGGTACCAAGGCAGGCAGACTTCTCCTCCAGGACATGCACTACGGCTAAAAGTCTTGCTTAGCAATAAGACCCTTAATATGCAGAGTATAGTCGAAGCCAAGGGAGGTCAACTTTTTTGCATACGTGAGACGCCGGCTATTTAGTAAGCACTAGGCATGACTTGGGAGACCCCCGGAGTAAACCCATTTTAGCACTATAAGTGTACAGGACGTTCACGCACCGGCGACAGTGAACTAGCAGCGCAGCTTACGGAGGAAAGTAGGAAAAGCGACTGCAGTTACTGGACCTGAACTCTATCTAGTCTTGCCCCGGAGAGCCGCGGGCTAGGAAAGGGGGCGTGCGCGCGTCTGATAGGAGCGGAATGCATTGGGGAGGCCAAGGCAGTGGGCAGCGCCTGTAGGGCAGAGTTTCGAAGCTTTGCCTTTATTCTGCAAAATAAGGTCCAAGGAAGAGAAGTCCGTTCTGGGTAGTTTTAGTAGCAAAGTGAAAACCACTAACATGTTTGGTTCACCCCCGCCTTCTCTGACTAGAGCAGAGTCAGGCTGAGCGGCACAGCTGCATTTTAAATCATCTCTGCTGGGTGGGCGGCGGCAACACTTGCCAATCCCAGCTGGGGTGGGGAGAGAGAAGATCAGAGGCGTGACGCCCGCTTTTCATTTTTCTTCTGCAGATCACGCGATGAATCCTCGCCGGGTGGCGAGGCACCGACGCACCCCAGTTCCGTTCGGCACTGGGCAAAGATCTGCCCGGTCTCCGCAGCCCCGGAGGGCACAGCGGATGGCGCGAAACCCACTAACCTGGCTTGAAAGGGCAGCCCGGGCGGAGGCGGCGGAGCAGCTGATGCAGCACGACGCGGATGGCGATATAATAGACTCGCAGGGCGGGCAGGAGCGGAGACAATAGCGACATGGCTGCCTCGCGACGCTGTGGCTCTTTTGCCGCTGCCGCCTCCTCGCCCTCTTCCTGGGCGCGGAGGAAGAATCCCGGCCGCGGCCCCCTCCACGAGGAAGGGCACGCCTCCGGAGCCACACGACTCGGCGCTCGAGGATCAGCGGCCACACCCCGCGGAAGTGCCCGCCTCGGCCGCCTTCCCCTCGCTTGCTGTGCGGCCGGCCCTCCTGCTTCTTTCTGGGCATGTGCACAATGCGCTTGGCGAGCTTTCAGCAAAAGACGCTCAGGGGGGATGCTGGGGGTTCCCCCCCGTTTGCCAGTTCCTGTTGGAATAGTTTTGAAGGTAGGATGGGCACGTTAAAAACCAAAGCGTCAAAGTAGGCTTGCATATCATTGGAGCTGTAGAACGAAATTCCGATAATGACACGCCGGCTCCAAAGCTTCTAGTTGTGTCTTCCTGCCAGTACACGCTGTCTTGTTTGTTTACTCCAGGTTCGTTAAACCGGATTAACCCTAGTCATCGCTGTACTCTCACAAGCACTGAATGCAGTGTGCGTAAACACGTACTGGAAAGGTGTTACTCGGACTTTTTGTTGCCCTAGCTAATCTGAAAGGTGTATCTACGTTAGTGTTTTATTAATAAAGCAGCAAGATCGTTTCACTCTGTGTATTAACTAAAAGTTGCCTGCATTCACACTTCAGGATTCTGTTTTGCATTCCTCTCCACAGCAAATGCAGAGGCAACAGAGCTTCTGCATAGGAGTTTCCTTCACATTTACCTCCATTTGCTGCCATTTTCCCTACATTCTTTTCCTGCTTTTCTACAGGAGGGTGTTTGAAAGTTGAAAAACTGGTAGTTGGTATAGCTGTATAATGGCAAGGCAAGGAAAATGGCAGCTGCAGGGGGCTGACAGAAGGAAAATGGCACCAGCATAAAACTGACTTCTGAAAAACCTACACCTTCCCATCCAGATGCTGACTGCACTACAACCCACTGCACACCCTGAGATGCTGCTTCTGAAGATCAGGACCTAAAAGAACTGTAGGGATTACAACTGACCTCACCTCAACATGACAGAGATCAGTTCCCCTGGAGAAAAAAATGGCTGCTTTGGAGTGTAAACTCTATGGTATTATACCCCGCTGAGGTCCCTCCCCTCCCCAAACCCCATCCTTCCCAGGCTCCACCCCCAACTGTCCAGGTATTTCCTAAGCAGGGGTTGGCAACCCTAATATGGTGTGTGGCACAGGAGGCTGGACCAAAAACGGGAACATTGGCAGAAATTGCTCTCGCACACACAACACACACACAAAAACCTCTTGTGCAAGTCAAGAGGGTCTTCTACATGGTTTATCTGCCCTGAGTTAAATGTATGTAAGGGAGCAAATTTCCCCCCTGCTTCCCCACAGCATTGTGGTGCATTTGTGTGCCTCTAGGGGTTTTCCTGGCTTTTCTCCAGTCTTTCTCAAACTTGCTTTGTTCCGAAGTTTTGGGACAGAATGTAGTAAAATCTGGATGGCTGCTATGTGGGTGTGTAAATGTGGATTTTCTGGCCCATGTGACTGCCAGTTTCCCTGACCCTGTCCTCACAGCAGCCATTTTCTACCCAACCACCACCAGAGGACTTCCAAAAAAATCAGTACTATAATATTGTTATATCAATATAATGTTGTAATAATAGGTTCTCGGAATTCAGAAAGAATGACGCGGCTGGGCCAAGCCTGAAAGGACGCTCAACTGTGGATGTGTCTGATGATGAAAGGAAAGTCCAATGCTGCAAAGACCAATACTGCATAGGAACCTTGTTATGTATCCCTGAATGGGGACCTTGAACTGGGTGAGCTTGCTCCCCAAGAACAATAGCTAACCAGGATTTTGGAAGTGACCTATAGATAAGCAGTGTAATGTAAATAGCCTATCTTAGGGAGTGTGTGTGTGTGGGGTGGGGTGTTTGCATGCTTTATAAGCAGGGCTCAAACCCTGCTGGGTGTTCTTGTTCTGTTCCTGAAATCACTTAATAAACTACAGCTGATCACTGCAATGTGTCCAGAACCCAGTATTATGTACTGGTCGAAGACCGTAATAGTAAACTGACTGACTGACTGAACCCAGTATTTAACAAACCTGGAATGCAAGATCTATGAATCAAGGCAAGTTGGATGTGATAAAAAATGAGATTGCAAGACTGAACATTGACATCTTGGGAATCAGTGAACTAAAGTGGACAGGAATGGGCG